CCTTGAAGAAGGCCAGGAGTTCTTCTGGTGCTTTCAACCTCTCTCTAAGAATAAAATGTCAGACTTCATATTCAACATGGAATAATTTCTTATAGACACTGTCTGCAGGCATCTCCCTTTACCTACCAACTAATTCCTACAAAAAATCCTGAGCGTGGAGGGCATTCAATGATCAAGAAACAAAGAATATAAGAAGCGAGTGCGTGAAAGGGTGGCTGAACAGTAAATAGTTCAGCATTATCCAGCTATTTGACACAGAAGTATATTGTGTGCTTCTCTTGCCCTAGCCTAGATGAAGTAATGCAAATTGTATATGTATATTTAATTTCTCATGAAATATTTTGGACATTCAAAAAGTATAAAGAATAATAAATACCCATTTACCCTTAATTCAGTTTAAAGGATACAATTTCATCAGTACAGGTGTAAGCTCCTATTACCCCTTCAAAGATCGCAGTCCATTCCCTACAAGGATAACTACTGTTCTAAATTGAGCGTTTCACATTCTATGTATTTCTTGAAAATTCTATCTCATGCCAAATCTGCGGACATTATGAACATACTCTTTCAGTTCTAAAGCTCTAGGGCACTTCTGACATTGTGCTAAAAATATCTTACTGCTCTAATTAGTTAATACTAAAAATATTTTTAGCATAACACGAAGCTTTCTACGGTGTATTATTTTAAATAAGTCAATTAAATGGTAATAAATATCTCAAGTTCAACAATAAATTTAATAAATCTGAGGCCTCTCGATCAAATGTATAGTTTCTATTCTACCCTTTTTAAAACTTAAAAAAAAATCAGCCATTCAATAGAAGTAGCTTCGCCAAAGTCCATGGCATTTATAAACAACTGACAGTAGCCAGAATGTAGTATTTTAAAGGGACTCATAACTAATGGGTGTACTCTATACTCTTGGAGGTGGATAAAATTCCCAGTGAACCCAGCCTTGTGCCTGACACTCCCTGGTTATAATTAGGCATATTTCAGAGTTGTATGAATGCTTGTTAACCAGCAGGGCACCATTTAATAAATCTCTGTACTGTTATAGTCATCTAAGAGGCCTGTCTGCTAGACACCAAGTCCTTTTGCCAGAGTGGCAGAACAATTGATGTCCTTAGACAGGGTACTATTTTAGGCTAGCTCGGTAAAACATGAATGGGTCCAATGAAGCACAGTTTATTTTGTATGGGGTCAGATCAATGCTGCATTGTTGGGAATCAGCAGTGAAGATAGTATAGTCCAGTGACTTGGTCTGTTGGTTTTCAGTTCCTAGGACAAAGACCTTGTATTATTAATTCAAGTCCACAATCTTTTCATCAGAGACTGAAATCTAAGGAACTCTGAAAGTTGACAATTTGTTCTAAACTCATTTAATGCCAAAACTTAGGCTAATCTGAACTCATTTAGTGGCAAATCATCACCAGCACAGACATTAGGTTAAAGTCCGTCTGTGCACCAGTTACTGTGACTATTTATATGTTTTACTGCAGAAATATTAATGTATTTGGTTAGAGGGTTCTGCTCCAGACCCCCTGGGGGTGCTAGTTAATACACAGAATTACCATTTTAAAACCCCAAAACTTTTGAATTCTAGAACATAATCGGCCATACAGGTTTCAAATTTGGGATTGCTGAGCTAATTTAATAGCCACCATGGGCTGGGCTGTCATCCCTTTCACTACTTCATTTTAGTCCCACATCGACCCTATGATTGTAATCAGCACAGTTCTGCACCTCTGTTGCTGCATTAACACACGTGATCGAACATTTAATAAGATTTTTCCTGTCGCTTCTGATTGCTGGGAAAACCCCAAAACAGCAAACATGAGGTGCTAAAACTGAGGATAATAGGTGCTTGTACCTTCCACCTTCAATTCTGAAGAAAATCTTCAGATATGTGCCCTCAGAACTTGCTAGAAGCAAGGCTAGATTTGCTTTTCCAGCCATCACCGCATCACCAGCAGCTTGCACACAAAAACCAGAAAGTCTGAAAGAAATGTCAGGATTGTGAGTTCCTTCTCTCCACTGTGTTTTCCTTTGCTTCCTCCTTTCCTGTCCTCTACCCAAATCAAGTGACGAGGACACTAAGAGAACCAAGGGGAGGGTCCTAAATTGGGGAAGTGCCTGTGAGAAGAAGAGAGCCACCTTCCAGCCGAGGTTATAATGATGCCCTGGAATTGCTGACCCGCCCTCTCTGCATGTTTGAGCAGAGGGGAGAGGAACTGGAGAGTGAGGACAAGGAGGAAGGAAGGAAGGTCAAGGAAGAAGGAGGGTCAAGGAGCAGCCTGCTCCTTTGCCAAAGCAGCACATGTGATGTGCTCAGGGATGGCACTGTTTCAGGCTTAACTGGTAAAACATCAATTAAACTGCAGTTGTTTTTTAAATTAGTCAGATTCCCAACAGACATGGCAAGGATGTGGAATTTTTCTCTGGCTAAGTGTACAATGAAAAAGATAGGCAGATAAACAACTAGGTCTTACTGTATAGCACAGGGAACTATATTCAATAGCTCGTAATAACCTAAAATGAAAAACCATATAAAAAAGAATATACAAGTATGTATAACTGAATCACTATGCTGTACACCAGAAATTAATGCAACATTGTAAATCAACTATACTTCAATTAAAAAAAAGGATAAGCAGGCTTAAGCTGCCTTGTGGGTACCCCCCTCAAGAAGGCTGCCTGTGGGGCAAAAGGACCCCAGCATCAAGTAGAGTTATATGGGAGAGAAGAAGGAGTTGACAGACTTTAAAATACATCAGGCTAGTTTATCCCAAATCAGAGGAACAAACAGTGGAAAGGTCAACAACAGAGACCCCCAAAGAATCCCTATATACGTTCCATGGGACGCCTGTTTGTTTCACCGTGATTATCTACAGTCAAGAGACGGCAACAGCGTAAGTCAGTAAAAAGGCACTTGCCCCCCTTTCACTGCTCCCCTCCTTGCCATCATACATAGAGGAGAAATGCAGTGTGTGTGCAGTGGGTCTTTGAGGCTTCTCTCACTTTGATATTCACAGGCATCCCCCACGCCGCCCTCCATCCCATTCCATCTTTTCCTCCAGTCCTGACAGTGTTTTTCATCGCTTGGTGGCTCAAGCACAAACAAAAGAACATTGTTTCTCTCAGCACAGCAAAGCAGGCTGGAATTTTCCAAAGGAATCTGACTGAAGACAAAGGGACATAAGCAAAGGAAACACAAAGTCCATACGTATTGTCAAGCCAACAAAGTACAGGTTTCCAACCATACAACAGCTCAACTGTGCCCAGCTCTCAACTGTTGTGTCTCCCCTCTTTCTGAGAGCCCTGTCCAGAGAAATTCTACTTCAGATCATCCACAGACCTTCTCTCCAGACCTTTCTTTGTCTCCAGACCTCCTTAGAGGAGGGTTTGAAAGACATCCTGCCCAAACAATGGGTGAGGCATGTGGATTAAGAAATAGCACCCTTTCTTAGCTTTTGAGTCAGACAGACCTTTATGAGAGTAACTTTACCTGTCCGAGCCTTAGTTTTTCTCATCTATATAGCACCTATTTGGTAGAGCTGTGAAGTGTTCACTTAAATGCTTGCATATGGAAGCACTCAGAAAATGTGTGCTATTTTTACCATTATTCAGGGTAGGAAGTCAATGCTGGTTGGTTTCAAAACCACCCACTGTTGTCTCCTTCTTCTATATTTATGTTTTCTTCTCCCCATTCTTTCTCACATTCCTCCCACCCTCACAGACAGGTAAAGTTTATTTCCTCATACCAGAATGTATCTAACAGGTTGCCCTATTAATATGAAGGAACCATATCAAACCCATCAATCCATTCACTGGTGAATCTTGGTTTCTTAAAGTTCCAGCCTGGCATCTAGACCATGAGTCCTTAGTACCATGACACTTTATGACATCCCAGGACTAGCTGCATATTTCCACCTGTCTCTTCTCTGAAGGACATCTTCATTTCCAAAATCCAGGTGGTGGATCTGATCAAGGTCAGCCACTCATCACACTTTCCCCAACTCATACAGCTCATGTTTGAGCAGGTAAACAGTACATTTTTGATCCCCATCCAGGTGTGAGACAGGCCCAGGCTCAAACCTTGGCTCAGTACTAAATGACTAACAACAAGTGCTTAATCTTTCCAAGCTTCAGTTCACTCTTTGTGGAATGGTAATTCATTTATCTCCCTAGTCTTTGAAGATTAAGAAGATAAGAAAATGAATGTCAAGCACTCAAGGCAAAGGCTGGCCCATTCTACTACAGGCACAATAAATGGTGGCCGACAGCATCATTGCATGTTTATAGTATCACAGTTACCTTACCCAAACAATTAAGTGGACAATTTACAACAAAAGATAAAAAAGGACTTTCTTTTACATAGTCTTTCAATCACGTAGACTATAGTCAGTAACCAATGATTCTCAACCTTGTGGTTCATAACAGTCACTGGTTTATCTCTGAACTCTGATGAATGGCCTACTTACCTAAGGTAGAAATCTAAATAGCACACATATGGACCTTAGTACTATTGGTTTCCTAATTATGGTCCCCCTTTATTATCAACTTCAATCACATGACTAAGCAGAGTTTCCCTGTATTTATTGTTCTTGGAAGACTATTGGTTAAGGGTAAATAATTTGAATGACTATTAATGGGTTTACATTTCACATTCATATTTGAGATGGAGTCCCATGCCCCAGGCTGCCCTTCGTTGCTATCCGAAGTCCCTCCTGCAATAAGGTAAATGACCACCCACCAAGTGGCTGTTGGATTGAGTGGATAGGAAGCTGCATTTAACAACATTTCATGTATTTTATGACAGCCTCCTTTTCCTTATGTCCATATGTTTTCCTGACCCTTTTCTACCTTTATCATTTTGGTACCTTAAGTTTCAGATTTGGAAGGGACTTCAGGGGCCATCTAGTTCCTATCTAGCATGTGGATTTCCGGTGAACTTCTTGGTTTCTGATATCATATGCAAACACATCATGAAGAATCCCACTTGCTCAGCTTACACCTTGTTCTTTGTTCTTTCTTACATGGTTCAAGATCCTCATCTCAGGCCTTCTCCACTTTGACAACCTTTTTGGACACACTTCTTGCTCTCTGACATCAGAAGGTTCACAGAGTTTTTCCAACCCTCCCCTCCCCCCACTTCCTGCCACACTCTGAAGCCAGGGCTGGTTCTGCTGCCAGTAAACTCCCAGGGACCTGGAGGGCAACGAAGAAAAGAAACCATCTATCACTGCTCTGCCCTGGGACTGACACCCAATCTCAGAAATTATTTTCATGCAACACTTACAATCGGGCCATGGCCTTTCATGTCCTTGTACATTTGCACAAATGAATCGTGAGAAATGAAACAGAAATGCAACTTGAAAATGCATCGTGACTCACAACACAGATCAACTGCACTGAACATAAAGTGCCATACACACTAAGATCAAACTGACTGAACCCTAGCCCTTCCTGATTCAGATCTTCCAAGTAGAACCACAGACCATAAACTAACAACTAACTTTGCTGACTCATATGTTCTATAGATAGGAACACTGGCTCTTCCAACAGCTCACCTCATTTACAAATTCTGAACAACTTCTGCCCAGATCACACTTACTAACTGCCATCTAAGCCTATCTAATGATTAATTGCAGCCTCAAACTAAGTAACATTCCTTCCCAATCAAAAAATGGACAGAAAACCTAGACATCTCTCCAAAGAAGACATAACAGATGGCTGACAGGCACATGAAAAGATGTTCAACGTCATTAATGATTAGAGAAATGCAAATCAAAATTACAAATCAAAATCACTGAAGCGGCATCACCTCACACCAGTCAGAATGGCCATCATTAAAAAGTCCACAAACAATAAATGCTGGAGAAGGTGTGGAGAAAAGGGAACCCTCCTACACTGCTGGTGGGAATGTAAATTGGTGCAACCACTATGGAGAACAGTATGGAGATTCCTTAAAAAACTAAAAATAGAGCTACCACATGATCCATCAATCCCACTCCTGGGCATATATCCAGAAAAAATGAAAACTCTAATTCAAAAAGATACATACACCTTAATGTTTATTGCAGCACTGTTTACAATACATGAAAACAACCCATGCTCCCATCAATAGATGATTGGTTTAAGAAAATATGGTATGTGTGTACAATGAAATTCTACTCAGCCATAAAAAAGAATGAAATATTACCATTTGCAGCAACACAGATGGACCTAGAGAATATCATACTAAGTGAAGTAAGTCAGACAAAGACGAATATTATATAATACCACTTACATGTGGAATCTAAAAAATACTACAAATGAATCTATTAACAAAACAGAAACAGACTCACAGACATAGAAAACAAACTTACGGGTCACCAAAGGGGAAATGGAGAGGGTAAGGGATAAATTAGGAGTATGTGATTAACAGATACTACTATGTATAAAACAGATAAGCAACAGGGAACTATATTCAAAATCATGTAATAACTTATAATGAAAAATAATCTGAAAAAATATAGCTGAATTACTTTGCTGTACACCTGAAACTAACGAAACACTGTAAATCAACTATACTTCAACTAAAAAAAAAAATAACCTTCCCTAATGCCTCCCTTTTGAGATACCATAATGGCTGTACTCTGCCTTGCTCAATATGTACAAGCCCAGCCTTGGATGATCAACAGGTTCCCCCAGTGATCTCTGATTAGGAAGCTTAACAATTCTTCTGCCTCGTTACGCCATTTTCTTCTTGTTTGCCTAGCACACACCTACCCATGCTTCAAGAATCCATTTAAATATCACTGCAAGTCTTCCCTGATTCCTCCTTCACCTCAATCTTCAGCACCATTTATAACCCCATCCTCTGTGTTTCCTGTGTACTTGGCTCAGACTTCCATTTACTTTTCTCCCCTTGTATTTTCACTCTTTTATTTGTGCCTGCCAACTCTCTCCACCTTTCCTTAAGGGCAAGATCACCTTTATGCATCTTTGTATGTTCCTTGTCTACTCTGGTTTGGGGCACATGGAACAGGCACTGAATAAACAACTCTTAAACCCAGATTATTATTCATAAGAAAACTACAAACAGAGCCTTAAGGTATAGATGTGTTAGTTATTCTTTCTTGGCCACTATCTACGTGTCAAGGACCTCATGCAGAACAAATCTCCATAATGCCCATTCCTTTGTGGTGAGAAAAGTCTACATAAACTGTGTACTGGATGGCCAGGATCACAAGCACTGAAATAGGATTACAGAGGCCCAGATCATGGGCATGGCAAATACTGCTAACAATTCTCTTTTGCAAAGAAGAAAATCAATTACATTAAACATTTTCATATTAAAAATTATTTAAATTATTAAAATAATAAATGATGTATCTACTATAGATAGTGTGTAAGTCCTTTGAGAACACCATCTCCAGGATCCCAATCCCAGCCCTAATTCCCCAAAGGTATTCATGGTTATTAAGCATGTATTCTTTCAGATTATTTCCAATCATTTGTATACATGGGAAAAATATAGTACGGTTTTTTATATATGTTTAACATAAATTTAATCATCAGTGTCTTTAGATCTTCATAAACATGAAGTTTTTCATGTGAGACACCACTGGCAAAAACTGCATAAAATATACTTATTTACTTGGCTCTGTTACTTAACCTGTGTTTAAGTAAAAATGTTAAGAATTTAGCATCCTCAGAGTATGTGTATATTTTACATATAATATTGAAATACTTATATTAATAAATATAAATATATATTATATTAATCTTATGTTTCCCAAAGATTATAACTGATTCCCAATATAGCTCAGGGGAGTGTTGTGAAGACTTATGAGATAATTCATAAAACTGTTTCAGCTGTTTAGAATGCAAAAGCTAAAAATAAAGAAGTAAGCTTTGAGTGATCAAAACACCTAAATGCACAAAAGCCATAGAACGTCTTTAGTGGAAAATTAATTATTACTTAATTCTCAGAAAGCCTGCATACAGTCACAAAGTACTTATTCAACACTAGAGAAATAATAAATGGAGATATCACTTCTTTCTCAGTTTCCTACATAACACTTTAGTTTGCCTATGTAAATGGGTCATCATTACACATATAATTTTATATTTTATAATAGGAAGATCACATTCATGAGCAATAATTTTATTTTAGCAGCAACTTGAAGTTTTTTCCAACCAAACACTGAGAAAGCACTTCTGAAATGTATGATGAAAAGGTATCAGGGAATGATGAATTGATATATTTGCAGCTGGGAAGTTTTAAGTGTTTGTGCTTGTGGACTGTATTTGCTAATAAACTGTGTTTTAAAATCTGCAAGAAGTTTTTAGAAGTGCAATTAATACGCACATCAATAAGCATTCCAGGAAGTCACCAGCACAATATTGAAAAGTGATATAAATAAACCATATAGTCAATGTAACACTTTATTTAAACAGCCCCTTCCTTATGGTTGAAGGCATTGTCTGTCCTAAAAATAGCTGGAATAGGCAACGAACATTTTTACCCAGCTACGAGTTTGTCCTTTTTTTGTTTTTTGGAGGGGGGAGGTAATAATGTTTATTTATTTTTACAGGAGGTACTGGGGATTGAACCTAGGACCCTGTGCATGCTAAGCATGTGCTCTATCACTGAACTATACTCTCCCCTCAGGTATGAGTTTGTTCTTTCCCCACTTAACCATCCTGGTTAGTGAGCCGGCCACTGGAGGTTATTCTGAGATCCCTGAGAAACAATCAATCTTTGCTTTCACCATGAAGTCTGCTGGTTCCGAGAAGCCCTTCTAAGTAGACACCAGCCCTGGATCTCTTTTAAAATCACTTTTCAGCAGATGGTGGTGCTTGGTCCCTGACAACTTTATGAAGTTATTACAATAGCCCTAAACTGCCTTGTCTAGACCCTTTTTAAAAATTGATATATAATTGACATAACATTGTGTGAGTTTAAGATGTACAAGGATATTGATTTGATATATTTATATATAATATATATATACAATATATAAATACAGCTTTAGCTAGCACCTCTATCCCATCACATAATTAACGTATCTTTTGTGGTAAGAACATTTAAGATCGAGGCTCTTAGCAATTTTGAAGTATGTAATACAGTATTGTTGACTATAGTCACTATGCTGTGCATTAAATATCAGAATATCTTCTAGTTGCAAGTATGTACTCTTTGTGCCTTATTTTGTACTTTGTTTTATGAGAGATAATAAATAATGAATATGTTTAAGCCACTAGACTCAAGTCTCTGTTACCCACAGCTGAGTTGAAGCCTAACTGATACAAGATCATAGATTGCTTGGGGTTAATTCAAATTTTCCAAGCTCATAAGGGAGACTTAGGTACTGTTGATAATATTCTCCACATTAAAGAATAGGCTATGAAGAAAGTGACTACAACAAGGTGATTTAGTCAAGATTCTGTATTTGAGCTCCGAATTAATTCAATGATGGCCTCAAGAGAGTTAGATCTGACTTTGAAGTCAATTCCGAAACACACTTAATATCCTTTCCACATTTTATTCTTCTGCTTAAACTAATCATTGTGATGCTTGTGAGAAATAGTAGGCTTTTTGCCAATTTTTCTAGCTGAGAATAGATTCAGAATGTTCCTGAGATGAACTCAAAACCCAGGTTTAAATACTTATATTTTTATTTCTTATATTTTGTGATTATATGAAAATGAGTTTCATGAAAAAAACGTGTAAGTCAATTTTGTTTTTCTTTTTGAATTCTTACTCCTATTTTTGGCTCTTAAAACCTATGAATCTCAACTTTTTATATTTTGTATTCCACAGACTATTTTATCCACAATGATAAAAAATACACATATATCTTTACTGAGAAACACATTTTTATGACCACAGGCATTCTGCTTTATGTTTGTAAAGGTATCAAGGACAAAAATTGCATTACTGTTGGGATGGGTGGATTTTGTCATGAAGGATAAGCAGTTATTTCAGAGTCCATTGTTCTACTTAGATTTTACTTAAATCTCAACAAATGGCATGTATGCCCTTGACTGAAGACTGCTTTTCTATAGCATCAAACAAACTGGATTGAAAAATAACCAAGTAGATACCATAAACTGTCTGAAAGGCGAGTTGAATCACCTAAGTCAGTCTCTTTTGTGTTGGCAAATTATACTGATTTTGAGTAACTATTAGTTGAGATGTTTTGGGGTGGAAGTAAAAAAAATAATAAAAATTAAAAGTGGCTTTAAAAATAACTTATTTTTATCACACAAGTCCAGAAAGCTCTAAACTGACCTCTTTGCAGTTTCTTGATCTTTATCCTCATCGTCACAAGACGGTCTCCTGGGCTCCAGGCATCACATTTTCACACAACCACATAAACAACAGAAAGGCTGGGGGTGGGAGGTGGGGAGAAACTGTTTTTTCTTCTCTTCTTTCCCACAAATTCCCAGCAGACTTCCCCTTACAACACAGGCCAGAACTGAGGTCCCGAGAAAGGCGGAGAATGCAAGTACTTGGCATTTTCTGCCTCTGCTGTGGGAGGCAGTCCTGCCAGCAAGGAAGACAACGGAGAAGAGGCATGACCATGGGAAGGCAGCCAACAGCGTCTGCCACAGGGGCTTTGTAGCTATGGTCACTGCATGTGCCTTGCCGGTTTCTAAGGGCCAATGAGCTAAAATTCTGAGTCTGCAATGTCACAGTGAGTAGGAGGAAGAGGAGAGTGGAAAACACACGGCTGGTAACCTGCAAGAATCAGAAAAGTTGTGAACTCTCCCTAATCCACAAAGCCACTCAAGTCAGCAGGACAAAACTGCCATGGTAATCAGCTGAATACTGAACACCAAATACTGAGTGTTCCCTCATAAATCCTTACTGGATTTTTTTCCCCACTCTGAAGCCTCACGCATTATTGAAAGTGATCTCTCTGTTGGAATTTCCCCTCTTACTGGTTTGACTGGAAGTTTACTCCGTGTTTGTTCGTTCCTATTTTTATTCACAAGTTCTCTTGCATTGCCGGAGGACCAGGAACAGTAGGGAGTTAGGAATTCACAGTTAGAAATCCAGAAGCCAAAGGACAGAGCATTGTTTACTCTGCTTATTAAAGATAATATGATAT